TGTGTGTGTGTGTGTGTGTGTGTGTGTGTGTGTGTGTGTGTGTGTGTATGTATTTTCCCAGAGATATTTTATGCATAACAAGAAAATATGAATATATATTTTATTCTCTGTTTTTTTGTATAAAAAGGTAAACATATAGGAGAATACTGTATACATGGCTCTACACTTGTCTATTTTACTAACATATCTATCTTGGGGATTATTCAATATTCCTAACCCTTATTTATATCTACATAGCATCCCACTGTATGACTGTGCCATGATTTCCTTAACCTTCATCTATTAATGATGAACATATAGGTGCAACCAATTGTTTGTTAGTATAAGTAGCACTTCACTGAAATACTTGTACATTTGTCATTTTGCAGCAGTCACAGGTTATGTTCATTTTAAAATTTCATTGACGCATCTGAGTGGCCCAGTCAGTTGAGTGTCTAACTCTTGATTTCAACTCTGATCATGATACCAGGGTCATGGGATCAAGCCTTGCATTAGGCTCCACATGGAAACTGCTTGAGATTCATTCTCTCTCTCTCTCTCTCTCTCTCTCTCTCTCTCTCTCCCTCTCCCTCTCCGTCTCCCTCTCCCTCTCCCTCTCTCCCTCCCCCTTGGCCTCTCTCCCCTGCTCACACACTGTCTCTACAATACATACATACATAGCAATTTCATGGATATTGGCTTTCATAGACACGGGGCAGTATACACTTCCATCAGCGAAGTAGTGAGTCCCACATGACTTCATTAAGACCCTAGCAGTTTGCATTTTCAGTGGTATGTGGACTAACTAGGTTTTCCTTAAATGTATCCTAAGTTTTATCTTCACTATAAAACTCTGAACTAACAGAGTAAAAATTTAATAAGGGTTACTATATATATTGGTTGAGATATTTCACTTTATGTTAAGGCATGTGCTTAAATTATGACCAGCCTTTCTTAGCTATCATGTATCTCAGAATTTGCTTTCTAAAGGCCTGTGTAAAGAGACTTCATAAATAATATTTGTTATAAAATTGTCTAGCCATGACTTCTCTCTTTTTGCAGTTCCTCCAGTAATTAAAGATAAAGAACAAGTAACAAATGTATCTGTGTTGGTCAATCACCTGGCCAATCTCTTTTGTGAAGTTGAAGGTACTCCTTCTCCTGTCATTATGTGGTACAAAGATGACGTCCAGGTAAATGAAGACATCAAAATATGCATAACTCATTGCATCCGCCTCTGAAATAAACCATTCAGATGTGACTTTCTCATTAATAGTGATATAAAACTTTTACATCAATTCTTAATTATGCATTTGTATTAGGATTGGAAATAACACTGACCATTTTGGCCTTTGAAGGTGACTGAAAGCAGCAGTATTCAGATCACGAACAATGGAAAGATATTAAAGCTCTTTAGAGCCACTCCAGAGGATGCAGGAAGATATTCCTGCAAAGCAGTTAATATTGCAGGCACTTCTCAGAAGTATTTTAACATCGATGTGCTAGGTAAGGGAAATGGTCTTTTAAAAAAACTACAGTTTTCAGGGACACATGGGTGGCTCAGTGGGTTAAGAGTCTGACTCTTGCTTTTGGCTCAGGTCATGATCTCCCGGTTCATGAGTTCGAGTTGCGCACTGGGCTCTGCGCTGATAGTGCCAAGCCAGCTTAAGATTCTCTCTTTCCTTCTGTCTCTGCCCCTCCCCCGCTTGTGCTCGCTGTCTCTCGCTCAAAATAAATAAATAAACTTAAAAAAAAATACTACAGTTTTCAGATGCATTTCTTATAATTGAGTGGAGCTGACAGTGTGAAAGAGCAAAGAGATTAGAAAGAAATTGATAAGAGAAATGTAATTTGTTCTGGTCTGCCATTATTTTGTCTTTGATTTGGTTAACCAGAGTCATATGCTATAGAATGTTTTAAGCTATTGATTATTTATCATACAGAGATGTCTGTGGATGTTTGGTACTGTATTACACATAAAATAGTAAATTACTGCTCTTGTCAATTTCTCCTGCTAGGCAGGCAGGAAATTCTCTGGGAAATAATTATACAGGATGATGCAGAGTAAAACTCATTAATGTTGTCGACATCCGAAGCTGCTAGGTTGTAACTGGAACTGGAGGAGATAGCAAATGCTCCTTTCCCTGCATTCTGATTAACTCATAACTAAATCACCTCTGCCCTGATTCTAATTGAGAGGGGAAAATTCTGAGTGCGGGTAGAAGAATTGGGATATAAATTGGGTTATGAGGCATTTATAAAATTTTAATGGTAATCATAAATTTAAAGTTTTGTCATTTTAGCTTGTGAAATTGTATTTTCCAATTAAAGTTTACTTTGTGATAAAATGAATTCCTCCCTTTTCAGTGTTTTGTTCATCAAAATGGGCATATGTTTGTCAGTCTGGGGTGGAAATGAAGTCTGGGAATGATGCTGCATTCAAATTGCCATTTTTAAACTGCTTTGCATGAAAATAATCCCTCTCATTAGTCTTCTCAGAGCCTGAAGTACTTTGCATTTCCTCTACCAAATTTATCCTTATATGTAAGCAAAGACTATAACAAACACACTAAGTAATCTTTCCTATCATTAGTCTCATTGCTGTTATTTCTCTCAGCACTCATTTACTTTAAATTCTATGTGCTGATGACTCCCCAAATTTTTATTTCCAGCTCAGACTTCTCTGGATCTTAGAATATATATCTTGTCTTTTCCACAGTGTCTTGACTTGAATGTCTCAGTGGCATATCAAACAGAAATGTCAATGAGTATCTGTTCTGCTCATCTTCAGCGATGCCCATCACAGCACCCCCATCCACCAGCTTGCCTCTGCTAGAACCTGGCACTCATCTTTTCTACCTCCTCCTCCCCAACTTAATAAATCTACCTACATCCTGTTAAGTCTACTTCCTAATCCAATGTTAAACTATCTACTTCCTTTCATTTTTAACTGTGAAAGTATCATCATTTATAAGCCGAATTAAAATAGCCTCTGAACTGCTCCCCTTCCTCCACTCTTTGCCGCTGAAATCCAGTCTTCATTCCCTAGCCAATGTGATCTCCGAACACAAATCTGATCACACCCCTTCTCTATCGACAGAGCTACTTTGGTGGCTAGTCATTGCTCTGAAGATGAAGACCAAACATCTTAACATGATATGAAGGGAGAGGATTTCAAAGTCCAGGAAGTGTACAGGAATTCTTCAATATTTTGATAATTCTGAGAATAAAAACTAGCATAGTCGTTTTCATAGTATGTCCCCCATCCAGGCGTAGCCTAGGGGCCCTTTAAAAGAAACAAGGGTAATATACATTAAATAGCACTATGTTGTAATATGTCAGTTTTGAACCTTATAAGATTAATATTCATTATGTCATTCATTTTCTAAAATGTACAGCACTAGTAAATTGCATTTTATGAGCTTCACGGCTCACTTATATTCCAAACTCTTTTTGCATATGGGTTTACTTCTCCTCAAAATGAATTAGTTCTAATCAACCATAATTCTTGCAGGTAATTGTCCTGCTAGCAAATTTTTTATGAATGTGTTCCAATATTTAAATTTAACATTTGGGTGGGTCTACAGATGCAATATGAAGGTATTTTATGTGATATTTTATTTGTAATATTAAAATCTTACTGAAATACTATAGAAATCATTAATAATCTGCTCTCCCTCCCCCCATTCGTTTTTGCTAAATCATAGATTTTCATGATAAAATGTCTTTGTTCAAGTTCCTCCCACCATAATAGGTGCCAGCTCCCCAAATGAAGTCTCTGTTGTCCTCAACCATGACACCACTCTCGAATGCCAAGTCAAAGGCACTCCCTTCCCTGTTATTCACTGGTTCAAAGATGGCAAGTGAGTACCATGTCTCTATTTGTTGCAAGGGTCCAGTTGATAGAAAATATATGTGGAAATCCATGTGGATTTTCTCCCTTTTAATGATTTTAACCACATAAATATTATTAAATGAACATGAAGGAAAACAATATTGTTGAACGATGTTCTCACAGTCTTGTAATACCTTTCATTCTTGTGATTTATAAGACTATAAATGCTGGGAATTTATTTTAGAAACAGAGGAACTCAAGCTTATTGGACACTACATATTCTGCCCATAGGCTCAGAATAAAAAATGAAAAATGCAAGATCCAAATGCAGAGAAAAGTTTGCTTTTACATGGGATTGTTTGAATTATGAGAAAAGAAATTTATGACAATAAGATGAATACTCAAGCTAGCTCTATAAATGGACAAAAGGAAACAATCACAAAAGAGCAATTAGATATTTCCCAGACTTCAAGTTCAAGGGCTACTGAGGTTTGCTTATACTGATATGGCTGTATTGATTCATATTGTTCGTGACAGCTTATTTCTCACAGCCTAGTCTCAATTTGAGTATCATTATAGTTTCTGAGAGCAGGTGTCTAAGACTTAAGTAGCAAAGAGTAGCAAAAGTTTGTATGCAAACTTTTAATAAATCAGTAAAATTGACAACATAGAAAAATGTATGGAGGATATAACCAGGCAATTTAAAAATATTCAGTTAAGCAATAGCTGTATTAAACAATACTCTAGAGACTGTGCTGAGTGAAATAAGTCAGGGAAAGAATATACCATATGATTTCATGCATATGTGGAACTTAAGAAACAAAACAAATGAGGGGCGCTTGGGTGGCTTAGGCCATTAAATGTCCGACTTCAGCTCAGGTCGTGATCTCATAGCTCGTGAGTTTCAGCCCTGCGTTGGGCTCTATGCTGACAGCTCAGAGTCAGGAGCCTGCTTTGGATTTTGTGTCTTCCTCTCTCTTTGCCCCTCCCCCACTCACAGTATGTCCCTCTCTCAAAAATTAATAAACATTAAAAAAAAAAGAAACAAAACAGGTGAGCATAGGGAGGAAAAAGAGAGGCAAACCATAAGGCAGACTCTTAACAATAGAGAACAAACTGAAGGTTGCTGGAGGGGAGATGGGCAGGAGGATGGGTTAAATGATGATGGGTATGGAGGAGGGCACTTTTGATGAGCACTGGGTGTTGTATGTAAGTGCTGAATCCATAAATCCTACACATGAAACAAATATTACACTGTATATTAACTAACTGGAGTTTAAATTAAAACTTGGAAGAAAAAATGATGCTCACTGTCAATAATTTGGAGAATGTAAACAAGAAAACATGAATTTTGCTTTTCACAGTTCAGATTGGCAAAACAAATAAATAAAGGTTCAAACAATGCCAAATGTTGGCGAGAGTGTGGTAAATAGATTAGTATTCTGAAAGGCAATTTGTTGATATCTATTCAAATTTGAAGGCCCATATGCTGTAATGTAGCAAATACACTTTCAGGTTCTAGGAGAGGGAAACGTTCATGCACATCCACATGAGAGCAGGTACGACAATAGGTAATATTCCCTGCAACACTGTGGTGGCAGAAAAGTGGAAACTGCTTAATATTTAATATTAGGAGATGAGTAGATAACTTACAGCATAGTCATATTTTGAAACACTGTGCAGCAATTAAAAAGAGTAACATCAAGCTATAGATATCAAAAATATCTCTACAGCTATTGTCAGGTAAAAAGAGAAAGTAGAAAGAACAAAGCAATACCATTTACATGTAAGAACTAGATTCTTTTGGGAAAACATTAAAGCGTGAAAATGTTTAGAAAAAAAAAAACTTGTGAAAAAATGGAAACCAAACTTACAAAGGTGAGATATCTAGAGAGAAGACTCACATTAGGGGTAATAAATCAAGCAGACCTTTTCTTATTATAATACTTCCTTTTATGTTTATTTAAAATTTCACATTCCTTGCATAATTAATGATCAATAAAAGTTTTAAAGTTACTTAAATTTGAGTAACATTATCAAGTATTCACTTTTTAAAAACAGTTAAAATGCATTAAACTAAGGTACTTTATTCTCTCAGCTTTTGAGAGCTTCCTACAAAGTGACATGCCAAAAAATCGTAAAGGATGCTACCACAGAACATTAAATGTGTTTCCATTTAATTCTGTAGTCTGATGAGACTTCTAATCCAGCAGTGCATCTAGTTATTTATCATGGGCTAAGTCACTGCAGATTTTTTAAAAACTAGTTATGGGTCTTCCTGAAAGAAGATCAGTGGATTTTAAAGGTATGAATTTTAGGGGGTGCCTGGGTGGCTCAGTTGTTTAAGCATCCGACTTTGACTCAGGTCATGATCTCCTGGTTTGTGGGTTCAAACCCCGCATTGGGCTTTGTTCTGACAGCTCAGAGCCTGGAGCCTGCTTCAGATTCTGTCTCTACCTGTCTCTCTGCCCCTCCCTCTCTCTCTCTCTCTCTCTCTCTCTCTCTCTCTCTCTTTCTGTCTCTCTCAAAAATAAATATACATTAAAAAAAGATATGAATCTTAGGATATTATAGACTTTACGTGATATTTCAATTATTACATAAAGCTGCTGCCAGTTATGTAAAGTGAGCATTGTATAGTATTCAATAAATAACTGTATAGTAGGAAAAGACTTCCTTAACAACCATATATGAGTTGCTTTTGACATAAGTATATTTAAGTACTTGTGATTATAAAAACATTCATATTTACTACAGTATCTACTTTTTAGAAAAGCTGGCAGGATCATTGCCTTTAATAAGTAATAACCATTCTATTGTGAATACTTTTCCAGGTATTATAATGATATTGGTTTAAAACTAATATTCCTTGGCCTCAAGCTCCTATACTCTTAGTTTTACTTTACTAAATGATGATAGAAATTTTGGCTATGAAAACAAATAAAAAAGATGAAGAAGAAAAAGGAGGAGGAGAAGGAGGGGGAGGAATGGAAGAAACAATGAAAACACTACCAGGTTTCTATTAATACTTAACAAATAAGTTTGAAATGAGGGAACTTTTCATCTCACAGTAATCATTATCTAACTTTCATTAATGAAAATAATGAATAATAATGCTTTAGTAATTCCATTTTTCTGAATAAGAGTACTAATATCATTGTTTATTTTTTTTAGATTCATAGAGAAAAAAACCTTGTTTCATATTTTTAATCTCCTAGGACTTAATGATTTTTGTTGTTATTAATAAGAGAGGAAACATAGGAAAATAAAAATGGACCCATGGAATGCAATTTATTTTTTCTAGGCCTTTATTTTTGGGAGATCCTAATATTGAACTTCTAGACAGAGGACAAGTTTTACATTTAAAGAATGCACGAAGAAGTGACAAGGGTCGCTACCAGTGTGCTGTATCTAATGCAGCTGGCAAACAAGCCAAGGACATAAAACTCACGGTCTATAGTAAGTGTGATTTTCGTATGCTTGTTTTGTTATTATCAATTCCCACTATTATTGAAAATCAGGGTTTAATGTTAACTGTTCTTTTATTCAATGCTGAATAATTTGGACTGCAACTTACATTAGAGGAAAGATCCTAGTTTCTGTGTTCTAGACTAGAACATTGCATCCAATTTTAATGTATTTTGTCATCACATCTGGATTTCTTTGAGAGGTCTAGTAATTTTCCAATGATGTCACTCAAGACGTCTGGCATTTCCTGATTGATTAATATATAATAAGTCAAATGTCTAAATCCTTAAAAGACTTTAAAAAGAAAACCCAGAAACCTCTAAAAAGAACTGAGATACATGAATTGAATGAAGCCAATGGTATGCAAACCATTCAGTTGTTCTGTTTTCAAACCATCTTGGTCTTTATTCTGACCACAGGGTGATATTTTAAATGCCTTATGTTTGTGCCACCATTTTCTTCCAGCTAAGTCCCTACCAGAGGATTCAGCCCTCATTTCACTAAAAATCTCAATATTCCCTGAAGCAAGTGAATTCCAAGGTCATTTAATATTTTTTACACACATAGACATTAGGTTGCAGGCACAGCAAATTACCCAGTAATTCAATAGGCCAGTCATGCTTATTACTGTACTGATTTCTGTCTCTCCACAGTGTATGACACTCAAAAGTGTAGATACTTCAGGAATATCACCTCTTTACAGGATCTTCCCAAGCCAGTCAGTCTTGCAGTCACTATTGTCCAAGTTTATTTTCTTCATAATACATATCACTGTCTGATAGGTTATTGCTTAATTATGGATTTATTTACCTATCTGCTACACTTCGTAAGAGGAAAGCTACACTTCGTAAGAGCAGGGCCTAGTTTTGCATGTTCCCTATTTTAATGTCTGATACCTGGTAGCTCTCAAGAAATGTTTGCTAATAAATGAATGAATGGTCCAGTGATATACTGTCCAATATGGTAACCATTAGCCACATGAAGCTGTTGAGCACTGGAAATGTGGCTAGTTCAAAATGAGACAAGCTGTAAGTATAAAATATAGGTCAGATAAAAAAGACTTAATTTGAAAATATACTGTAAGATATCTAATTGATAATTTTACATTGATTATATCTAAAATGATTATGTATATAATATATATAATATTAAGTATATTATATGTTTATATATAAATAGCTAAATTATATATTATATATATTATGTTTAATATATATAAATAATATATAAATATTTATATATATTTTAATATATTATTTGTATATATTTTAATATATTGTATATATTTTAATATAAATATTTATATATATTTAGTATATATAAATAATATAAATATATATAATAGTTTAATATATTATTAAAACTAATTTCCTCTGTTTTTAATTCTTTTGGTGTGGCTACTAGAAAAATTTTTATTATGTAGATGGTTAGCATTATATTTCTATTGGACAGCACTGATCTAATCATTGCTAAGAACTTGGGCTTCTGGGACAGACGGACTTGGGTTGAGATCCAATTTCCGTCACTCACTAGCTTTATGACTTTGGACAAATTGCCTACCCTCTGATCTTCAGTTTCCTCATCTGTAAAATGGACATAATAATAGCACCTATTTAATAGTGTTATTGTGAGGATCAAAAGCTAGATACCTTACTGGGTCACCTGGCTTATACTGAGAGTTTACTAATGTTACTCATTTTTCATTATTTACTTAGTGATTGTATTGGCTTACTAGCTTGACTTCTATATAACTTCACTGGATTGCAGATTTCCCTTTTTCAATGTTAGTGTCTTTATATAAAGTTTAAGTAGCTCTCTTGAATCAAAGAGATTTTATTTAATGCATGCTTTTAAATCATTTCTACCTATAAATAGAAGCCTTGGAAGAATCTAATCATGAAAAGACATGTCCTCCAAAAAAAAAGAGTAGCATTACTGAAAGATTGGCAGTCATGAATCCAAGTCAAACATAAATGTTATTGCCACCATTGATCTCTTACCAGAACCAGACATTCAAATAATAGGTGCAAAATTTCCCCTAAGCTTTTGAGTGGTCTTCTCTACATTGTTGTATCATTGCCAGTGTCTATGATGCATACATTTTGGTGATTCTGTAAGACACCTATTTCCCAAGGACTTGGGTTCTTTTATTTCAGATCGTCTTGTGCAGTCTATATAACGCCTTCAGGCACCCAGAAGAGAGGGAACTATAATGATTAAAATTTCTAGGATTGTCTGAGATGAAAGATATTATGACATTGTGAAGTTTTGATTATTATAACTAGGAAATAATGCATCTCCTTTCTAGTATGCTTGGCTGCACCTCCAAGTGGGTAACCTTAAGCTTATTTTATTTCACTTATGAAAATGCTTTTTATTCCTAAGAATGAATGAAACAGATGCCATAGTTGGGCTGTCAGGAAAAGTTATGTAGATTTCAGATTGAGAATGTGTTTTGTATGACATTTGATTCATTTGTTTTCCTTATTTACATACCAACATGAGGACAAAACAGCTGATGCACTTGAAAGGCAGAAATGCACATTGTGCCCGAATAAAGAAAGAAATAGAGGCAGAATAAGAGTGAAAAATAAAAGATGGAGTGGGGGGGGGGGGCGGAGAGGGGGGGGAAAGATGTGAAAAAAGGAAGGAAATAAAAGAGCTTTTAATGTCCCAGGGGGAGATTGTGTAAATTCATAGCTATTAATTCTGAGGCAAAGATTTTTAACTTGAGGTCCGTGTTTGAGTTTAAGAAGTCTAAGTGCTTCTCCAAAGTGTGTGTAAGTCTTTGAATGTATATGTGCAGTGCATTTTAATGTGCAGTGTGTTTATTACCTTTATCTGTAACAACCTTCGTCAAACAGAAATAAGGTCCCAGAAAAGTATATATGAATTAAATTGAAATAGGAAGTGACGTTTATTTGGCAAATTTAAGCAGTAGATGGTGTGTTGTTCTGACGTCAATTAGAAATGTTCTTTGAGTAATTTTTCTCAACTTCAAAAATGCAGATATTTTCCAGTACAAATGATATTCCTTTGTAAAACATTCATGGTGGGTAGGGACTTATTTGAACATATGTTCTTGCTTTCATTAATGTGTCATCCAACTAATTAGGCTAGCCAGCTGATTTAGGCACTTTGAACCAAAAGTTTGATATATGTTTACAGATTAACATATGACATAAGTAGTCTCAAAGCAAAATTAAAATTTTAAATCTGAATAAAATGCTCTTCCTTAAGGTTTCAAAATGGTGGCTTGAATTTGTATTCATTAATTGTCTATAGCAAGACTTGGCAAACCTTTTGTATAAAGGGCAAGATAGTAAATATTTTAGGTTTTGCAGACCATGAGACAAAGTCAAAGATACTATGTAGGTATTTATATATCAAGATAGAAATAAATTTCTACTAATTATCTATTGATAAAATTCTTTTTTTGAATAGTTTTTAAAATTATAAATTTTTTTGTCATACAAGTCTACAGATTGGATTAATGGAATTCTTTGGAGGGAAGGGGTAATATTTTAAGTGGAGGTCAAAATTAGTGATCCCTCTCACTAAAATTGATTGCAAATGTTCATGTTAATGTCAATGTTGTTCTATAATGAGATTTTATGTATTTCCTCTTGGAAAATGTTTTTTCATGTAGACAGATACTGTCAAATACTGACATCAGTTCACAAACATATTATTTTAAATGACCATACTCATTGTTTGGAAGGCATTTATAGAATTCTCTTATATTCTTTTGATAATTGACTTCTAGCATGCCGTATCGCAGACTGAATAATTAAAGGTTCATTCTCAGAGATAAATGAACTTTGAACATGGAAATTTCCTTTGTATTTTTATCAAGGTCTAAGAGACATTGCTGAAACTGAAATTTGAGCTCAGAAAATATATCCAGGGCAAATCTGTAGGGCAATGGAGATCTCAGTTTTGTTTGACAGCATGGAAAATGTATAAATGTCGCTTGACATAATTGTGATTCAGACAGAATGACTACCATAGTATAAGTTTTGCACTTAAGTGCTGTTTTGATCTGGTAATTTTAGGTTGAATTCATTAAGAAACATTAGCAAATTTGTAGCAAAAACCAATTTCCAAAATCATTCAACAGTATTCAGTAATAGTGTTCGAGGACAGTTCTTTTCATTCTGAAAAAGTAGTCTCAGCACTGAGCTCAAAAAATTAAAATATAAGTTTAGCACCATTAAGGCGCTGAACTGCTCAATGGTAGACAAGTCTTTATATTCAGCTTCTACTTATAACAAAAAATTCATGGAACTGATGATGTTTAAGTCCATAAGAGCAAATAAAATATACCATTGACACTTCTGGTTCCAGAACATTGAGTATTTTACACAGAGTGCTTGCTGGTAAGTAACAGAAGGAATATAGACTTTTAAAACCTTATATTTTAATAAGCTTTATAAATTTGTCTGAGCCTTTTCCTGCTGCCATCAGTTGTACCATATCTTAGCAGATTCCACTTCAGGTTGTAACGAGTTAGTGTTGGGGTTTTTTGGTTTGTTTTTTTTTTTAAGATTTCTTTGAAAATATTTTTTGTCTGTAGTTGTTCCACGCAGACTATTCTTAGAGACTAATTCTTTAGTTTCTTCAGACTTGGCATTGACTCCTCAAACCAAAAGCAGTATCAGTAACATCTGTTAGTTTGCCAAGAGCCAAGAATACTGTTCAGAAAAGTTGCCTTTAAAAAAGAATTAACTATCAACGTTGCTCCCAGTGGTCTCATGTCTTCCAGCAATTATTGTCATGCAAAGGCTAATAATCTCAAACAAAGATTTAAGATTTCTGTGGACACATTTCTGTGACTACTGACTGTGATCATCCCTGATTTTAATTAAATCACTGTTGGTAAATGGCTTTTCTTGCTTGGCTAACATATGAACCACTCAGAAAAAAAAATTTTTTTTGGTTGTAGCCTCATTTTGACTTTTTATTTTTGAGAAGAAATTCTGTTATTATGAGTCAGTCCATTTTACATTTTATGATTTATCCAACTGTTGTTTTCCTTTGAATTGGAGATAACATGATGAGTCTAGTGTGTTGGTGTGTATTGTAATCTTTCAAAACAGCAATAGTATTACAGCAATAGTATTATTACAAAATAAATGATGCTTTGCCATTCGTTTATAACAAAATAATCCTCACTGTGTTGTGCTTTAAAAAGGTGTTTTAAAGTCTACTTTTCTCCTTCTTGTTTTGACATGAGAAGTATGCACTGAGAATAAAAATAAAATAAAATATCATGCCATGGTGATATGCATGGCAATTTGAAATGCTGTTGAGTTATAACTGTGTCACTTAAATTGATGGTAAGCTCAGCAGGAGTGAGAAGCAATGAGAACACCATATTTGCTATTTTTTTGCAACTACCTGACTCAGTTATTAGAGGGAGAAAGTAACCATAGACAATATGTAAACAAATCAGTGGGACTATATACCAATAAAACTTTATTTACAGACACTGAAGTTTGAATTTCATATAATTTTTACATGTCACAAAGTAATATTAGTATTATTTTGATTTTTTTCCCAACCATTTAAAAACGTAAAAATGTATTCTTAGCTTAGCATCTCCATGCCTCACCTATGAGCCATTGTTGGCTTCTTTGAGCTGTATATTAAACTACCTTATAGGAAAATTATCCTACCACCAGGTTTGCTTCACACTGTAGTAGATATTTCCTTAAATTATGTGTGACAAAAAAGAAATGTGTATATGAATGTTTGTCACTGTGAGCTAGTTCTGAGAACGGTTATCAGAAAATATTATGGTACTCTATTCACATCCAGCTCTTGTTTTCTAATATCTTTTTCCACTTAAAGGAACCAAGGCTTCTCAGGAAAATGGTTAATTCAGGGCTGGAGCAGGGAATATACAAGATGAGCCTACAGCATGTAGTAGAGCCAGAAGGTAAAAAAGTACTAAAATAGTAGCATGGCGTGAATATGCCAAAGGAACATAGGAGCCAAATGAAATGGTTCCCAGTGGTCAAAACTGGATTGATCTGAACAACAAATTAAACCATGTAGTATTTAGATCATAACCCAAGGTATAAAATAAGTTTCCATGAATTCATGTTGATATAAATAAATTGTTGAATAAGTGAATAAATTGGAGACGAGAAACAAAGTTTTATAGGATAACTCCAAAAAAATTAGGTAGGTGTTCTCCTCTCAAGAAAATAGAACCTAACTCCCCACCCCGTATGTATGGGCTGAAAAGAGTGATCCCTTTCCCCCAAAAGGGGGAAAGGAGAGTAACTTTATGAAGGAGAAACCTAGCAAAAGCTACCACAACCAGATTATTAAGGTTAACATCATCAGTGATAAGTCATGCTGATGATTTGTACCTTTGATATGATCTGATGAGGAGGGTGTTTTACCTCCGTGATCTTCCTTCTGAAACCTATAACCTTAGTCCAACTGTAAGAAAAGCATTCTAGAATATACCCTATTCTAAAATAAAAGTTTCATAAAATAATATTAAGGTACTCCCAGTTCAGGCACATGCCATTTGATTTCTTTTAACTTGTTGCAGTTTGTAGCACAAGCCTGGAATGACCAGAGTCAAAAGATGTAGCAGGATTGAGCCACTTGAGTCGTTTTTCCAACTCACACAGAGTTCTCATGTGGTGTGAGGCCAGGAATGTGGTTGCTAAATTACAGAAGATGTACATGTAGCTGGTTAGATGAGTATAGTTGAGTGAATGAACTCTTGGCAGCTAAAAAAAAAAAAAAAAAAAGGCAATAACAACGAAACAAAAACCTGTAAGAAGCAAAAGTTGGCAGATTCCGCAGCTCTTCCCAGTAACTGGTTCTGAAGGCACTTAGACCTTTAGTATTTTGCGGGGAGAAGGCATGCAGTTGTACAGGATGTGACATTTCCTGGTCCCTTGGCCTCATTTCAAATGTATCATATCCACTTTAAGTGGGGTTTTATTTTGTTTCCCTTTGTTTGTTCAACATAACTTTCTTAGTTATGTAATGAAGGAGACAGACATGTATATCATTTCTATGGTCAAACTAGTTATGTAACGATCTTTTGGACTTAAATGAACCCCTGAAATGAACCCTGTGACTTTCTGCTCTTACTGAAATCAAAACCCAAGAGGAAGGTGATAAAGTTTGAAAAGACAGGCAGTTGACTATCAGTAGATAAATCATTGAGTTCCTAATTGTCTTTAATTCACATCTACTTTAAATGCATTCTTTACAGCATTTAGGAGTCTGGTACAGATGCTAAAGCTAAAGCTAAAAGACTTGTTTCTTTTCTGCAATCCTTTGTAGTACCACCTAATATTAAAGGAGGGAATGTCACCACAGAAATATCAGCACTGATCAACAGCATAATTAAACTGGAATGTGAAACTCGGGGACTTCCAATGCCTGCTATTACTTGGTATAAGGACAGCCAGCCAGTCATATCCGGCTCACAAGCCCTTTATATTGATAAAGGACGATTTCTTCATATCCCTCGAGCACAGGTTTCTGATTCAGCAACATACACATGTCATGTCACCAATGTTGCTGGAACTGCTGAAAAATCATTCCATGTGGATGTCTATGGTAAGGAAAAAATACGTGCTGTAATCATATGCCTTTCTGTCTATGCTTTCAAATATGCCAACATCGAATTCATTCACTAATAAAGTCCTGGTGGGTTTGGTCATTTTCAATATGCATGGATAGAAATGGGAAGAATTTGTCCCATGACTTGGAAAAAATATTTTAAAAAGATACAGTTAACAAGAGGCGGTCCATTCATTTGCCCAACCATTTGTCCATGGCACATGGAGCATCTATACCATTTGGTTTTTATGGACGAGGTAAAGTTGTTTTCAGGACTAAGAACATTCTCTGCTGCTATCTACCCTTTGTAAGCGAGACGTAGCACAGAGTATCCCACAATATTGACAGTAGTTGCAGATCAGCTAACCCAAGAAATTCTTTCCTTAACAGCTTAGAAGGAGACAGACATGTATATCGTTTCTATGGTCAAACTACATGAAAACAAAAATCTCCTGTATTCCACTGGGATTTCGAAGATGCCTGAAATGTTACTTTTTTCTACCTAGTTCCTCCAATGATTGAAGGTGACTTGGCTGTGCCTCTGAGTAAGCAAGTGATTATTGCTCATTCACTGACACTAGAGTGTAAAGCTACGGGCAACCCTCCTCCAGTTCTCACCTGGTTAAAAGATGGCGTACCTGTGAAAACCAGTGACAACGTCCGTACAGAAGCTGGTGGGAAGAAACTAGAAATCTTGAGTACCCTAGAAGCCGACCGGGGACAGTATGTATGTGTGGCTACCAGTGTGGCAGGAGAAAAGGAAATCAAATACGAAGTTGATGTCTTAGGTAAATAAGGATGCCACAATCTGGATTCCAGATTCATAGCAAAACCTGACCATGTTATTAAATGTTTTTTGGTCATGGAATCATGAAATGATGTTACAGAAGGTTCAGTTGTCTGTTCAACTCTGGACCTGCACATTACTGAGTGGTGGATTTATCACCAGACCCAAGATCTAAGAACCCACGTAAATCTTCCACTGATTTTGACAGGCACACTTTGTATTTGTAAGTGCATTGATGCATTTTACATCTATGACAATATCTGATTGCAGTGAGTGATAACGTGGTCCCCTGTCATGAGCGCTATGCTAGACAACAGGAAACTTTGTCTCTGGGCTTTGGGAAGTCATCTTGCAACCTTTTTAGTCTCTGGGTTTTTTTTATAAATTAAAGACTTTTGAACAGAGGCCCAATTTTTGAGGATCATTTCTCTTATTATTATGAAAATAAGCAAACTAAACTATGAACTAGCTTTATATTCAGATGGCATCAGCAGCACCTACGTGGTAGATTAATTGAGAAAAATCCACAGTATGTCAAAAATACATTCCCCGATCCTAGCAAGTATGTATGGTAAAGTTTATTTTATATTTCAAATCCCCTTGGTGTATCAAATCCCTATGATACTTGTCAACCTTCTAAACTGCAACTTAGTACTGCTTAAAAGAGTAGTATATTTTTTCTTGTGTACATTTCTTTGTATGCTACATCTCTGTTGTTTTCTAGTGCCACCAGCTATAGACGGAGGAGATGAGACATCTTACTTCATTGTGATGGTTAATAACTTACTGGAGCTAGATTGTCAAGTGACAGGCTCTCCCACACCAACTATCATGTAAGGGTTTTGGTGTGTCTTCTAAATACCTCCCCCTTCTTTATTTGCGTGTTTTAGAGCTATCTTGAAAGAAGTCCTGTGTCATTAAAAGGCGGCCATATAAAATTATATTCCTTATGCTCCTCTTTTAAAAGACATACTCTGTGGGGCGCCTGGGTGGTGCAGTCGGTTAAGCGTCCGACTTCAGCCAGGTCACGATCTCACGGTCCGTGAGTTCGAGCCCCGCATCAGGCTCTGGGCTGATGGCTCAGAGCCTGGAGCCTGTTTCCGATTCTGTGTCTCCCTCTCTCTCTGCTCCTCCCCCGTTCATGCTCTGTCTCTCTCTGTCCCAAAAATAAATAAACGTTGAAAAAAAAAATTAAAAAAAAAAAGACATACTCTGTATACAAAGGCGGCTTTTGCTTTATAATAACAGGGCCCCTAAATCTGCTCAATTAGACGAATTCCATTTATGCTCTGAGAAATACATTTTCAGTTTATAGAGACAGACTAGTAAGCAGTATCTGTCAGATCTTCCTGAGGAACTGAAATGTTTAATGAATGATTAAATAAAAAGTAATGTACTGGACATATTAGGGAAATAGAGGAAGTTACCATGCATATGTGTTTACCAATTTCTTTTCTTATTTCTTCATTCACAAAGCATTTGTGAATACCTAACCTTTCATTTCCAAGGTGCAGGATATGCAAAGGAGCAGTTAGTCAACTAAGAGAATAATATATGTTCACATATGATTATAAAGTAAAATGGAAAGTGATAACTCATAAGAAATGAAAAAATACATAATGCTATGTGGTTTCAGTCTTTTATTTTACAGATGCTTTAGGAATGTATTCACTTTGCTGGTTAATATTGTTTAAACATCTGAAGTGAATAATATTTAGGGGCATTTGCCTCTTTCTGTTCCTTAACATTAATAGAAGAATGAAGAAAACACATAGCTATTGGGGCTCCAACAATATGCCAACTTCTGTGTTAGGCCAGCTTTACTTTTTTCTTTTCCCCATTATAGTTCACTATATAGAATGGACAAATAGAGAATTTGGCAAATACAGTTGAGAATTTATATATCTATGTATGTACAGAGACATTTTAATATATAAATGGTTCTAGTTCCTCCGAGATAAACACACACACACACACACACACACACACACACACACACACACACCCCTCTAGGAACTTAGTTTTTAAAATATATCTCCAGACTTCTTTTTGCCTTGTTTCTATAGGTGGCTAAAGGATGGCCAGCTAACTGATGAAAGGGATGGATTCAGGATTTTGCTAAATGGACGCAAATTGGTTATTGCCCAGGCTCAGGTGTCAGATACAGGCCTTTATCGCTGCGTGGCAACAAACATTGCTGGCGACCACAAGAAGGAATTTGAAGTTACTGTTCATGGTATGCTGAAGAAGAGACCAGAGCATTACATTTAAAATTAGCTTATGCACTGGGTCATTATTTAATTCAGATGGTAGTTCAGTAATCTGGATAAATCTTGAGTTGTGGAAAGTAATATGAAGTATGTGAATTTGAGTTAAGTTGTATGGCAGATTGGAAGGTACTTTACTAACACAGAGACTTAACCAAGAGACCTGTGTAAATGAATATACAGAATTCAAATGTTAGTGTGATTCTGCATAGAATGCCAGCGTCTGAGGAATGAGGCCAAATAAGATAGAATAGGCAGGCAGCAAGTTCTAAGTAAAGGGATTGTGTCCACTCTCCAGAGTTTAGTCAAAACAGGAGGGAGTGTGAATAAAGTCATTTCCAAAATAGAAGGTAAGGATCCTGTTCTGCAGGATCCAGGGTATGTAAGAATATTCACAGAACTAGCACAGAAGGATCAGAACCATTAATGTAATGACGAGGCAACCCTCTGCCAGGGTATTATATGTCTCACTTGTCTGCAGATGTTGGGAAAGTAGAGACTGCGATGGGAGACTGGAGAGCCATTTGGAACCCTCAGTAGAGGTTTCTATGAACATCAACATTTTTCCCTCTGTCCATGCAGACTTTTTTACTGCCTTTCCAATCCTGGGATGAAATATAGCTAACTCTGTTTCTCAGTCTCAATTCCAATTCTGGCAGCTTAAATCAAGTTACCATTCTGTATTCAATAGTCTTACTGGGGTCAGAGTCTTGCGGTAATAAATACAGGTACAGGAAACCCACCCTGATTTAATGAGGTAGTTCTAGAGAAAGAGAAGATCATAATAGATTGGGAAAACACACCAAAATGTGTAAGCCAAACATACATGCTGATTACAGTTGCTATAAATATATTTTACTTATTCTTTGAAGAATAGAAATCCACAGTTAAGAAATAGGTCATCTAAAATTGCTGAAGACTAAATTAAATGCATGAGATAAAATTATTTCATTGTTTGTTAAAATGGGAATTTCCCCTTTTCTAAATTTTAAAGTTTCAGGTTCTTACATCTGGATTTTTAAGTATTTGACTCCACTGATTATGGTTTTTGTTCCCTCCCTCCCTCCCGCTGTCCTTCCTTCCATCCATCCTTCCCTCTCTCACTTCTTCCCTTCCCCTGTTCTTTCTTTCCTTTCCTTCCCTTCCCTTTCCTTCCCTTTCCTTTCCTTTCCTTTCCTTTCCTTTCCTTTCCTTTCCTTTCCTTTCCTTTCCTTTCCTTTCCTTTCTTTTCCTTCCTTGAATCTAGTACCTCCAACAATCAAATCCCCAGATTTTTCTGAGAGAGCTGTAGTGAAATACAAGCCTATCACTTTGCAGTGCATTGCCAATGGCATTCCAAATCCATCTATTACATGGTTAAAAGATGGCCAACCTGTGAACACTGCCCAGGGAAATCTCAAAGTAAGTATCAATATTGCTTAGCCCAAAATGTGAAACCTACCTAGATCTTCTCAGAGCTATCACATTCTTCTTTCCTAATTGTAGATTTTCCTGTTGGACAGACTATAGAAAATTTACTAAAACAGTATGTGTTTTCCTTATAGTTTTTAGAATTTAGCTTAATATTTTGATTTGAAGAATGAAATTAATTAAAGACTAATAATGATACTGATTTTAACTTACTGGTTGGTATTTTTATTGTTTGATGCATGACTCTTAAGTATTGAAAAAATGATGTTTCATGGATGAATGAACAGTGTTCATCCATATTGACTCAGACTATCCCCAATGTGTTTATCATATACTAAGATTGAGGTAAAATCATATTTACGTAAACCTAAGTGAAATAAGTCTTGAAAAAAAATACTTTAGTTTATAAGCTTCCAGAGGACAGAGACGCTGTCTGAATAAATTCATTTCTGTATCCTTCACTCTGAGTATAATCTCTGGCATAAAACTTTACCTCATTACATATTTTTAAATAAATAAATATATTTCAAACTTAGATAATCTAAACAGTGAATTTAAAAATCTGAATTAATAGATTTTGCTCCTAGGACCAAGTTAATTGACTAATGTGGGCTTGAACTTTGCTTGTAGTGAGTTTGCAGTAATGAGCGATGTGCTGAGTTCTCTTCCGAATAAGAAGTGATGGGTATCTGCTCACTTATTATTCCTATTCCAAGTCCTATGGAATTAATTGTATACATTTGTGCTAGTGAGAGATTCATTATGAAGCTTTAAAGCATACTGCTTGTAAGCAACTGTTTCTCTGGGAAATAGGTGTTTATAACATACATATATAAAACTTTAATTAGAAACTATAAAGAGTAATATTAAGAGAAAATATGGAGAAGTATGAGAACTGATATTGTGGAAAGGCTTTAGACATGAGGGTAATTCATAGAGAAAGTCTTTGAGCAGAGATCTGAAGAATACATAGGAACTGAATGGGTGACTTAATGGAAGAGAACTGAGTAGGGTGTTTCAGAGAAGATGTGTATGGGCAAGCAACTTAAAATAAAGGAGAGCATGACACCCCCTGAGGACCTGACAGCAAGCCAGGGGACTGAAGAGAGCAAGATGAGGTGGTATGAGAGGAGACCAAAGAGTGGGTAGAAGGCATTTAAGTAATGTTAATGGTTTTATTTGTACTTAAATACATGAGAGATCTTTGAAGAGTTTTAAGAGAGGAGTGACATAAGCAAATCTTCACTTTAAATAGTTACCAGACCCCTATAAGATAATGAGTTGAATGAAGGAGTTAAAAGTAGATATGTGGGCAAGGGTGGTCCAAGACAGCAGTACAGGAAGATCCTGAACTTACCTCTTCCTACAGACACCAAATTTACTGCCACATATGGAACACTTGCTCTGAAAAAGATATGAAAACTAGCTGAACAGCTCTTCTATGACAAAGGGTAAAAGGGCAACATCAAGATGGGCAGGGGAGGCAGAGGTGCAGTCTTGCCAAAAACCACACCCCTGGCATGGTGACCCTCAACAGGGAGGGATCTCACAAGTCTGGAGCTTCTCCCTGAGGAGATGGGGCTCCTGCCCTATGTCAGGCATTTAAGCCCTTGGGACCTGTACTGGAGAGATGAGCCATAAAACATCTGGCTTTGAAAACCATTGGACCTTACATCCGAGAGACCCCAAGGACTGTAGGGATCTGAGATACCTCATGACTCACATGCACACTTACCTGCCCTGGGACCTAGTGTAAAAGTTTAAAAAGTACCTAGACTCTATGTGAAGGATATTCACTTGCTAATTTCTTTTTAAACGTTTATTTTATTTTGAGGCAAAGGGAGGGGCAGATAGAGAGATAGAGACAGAGAATCTCAAGCAGGCTCCACGCTGTCAGAGCAGAGCCTGATGCAGGGCTCTGTCTCGTGAACCATGGGATCATGACCTGAGGGGAAATGAAGAGTCAGATGCTTAACCCACTGAGCCCCCCAGGCACCCCTTTATTTGCTAATTTTAAAGCATCTGCCAGAGGGGCAGGGACCAGTAGGGACTTTCTCCAGGGACAGAGGTCCTGGGAGGCACCAGTTTTGCATTCTTCCTCTACCTTGCTAGCAAAAGCAGATGTGCACAGACACAGCAATCTCCCACTGCCTTGCTGCAGTGGAGCGCGTGCTCTGCCCCCAGCACTCTTTCCATGCCTTGCTAAAGCTGCAGGCATGCCCCACCTCAAGTTCTCTCCCACTACCTCACTAAAGTTGACAGGCAAGCACAGTCCACACAGGAGATACCCCTTCCTGGACCTAGTGGCCAGAGGAGCTTGTGTGCCAGGGCCTATGGGACTGTAACAATAACCAGAAAAACAGTTCTTGGCAGGCTACCCCACCCAAGGCATTGCACAGACAGTAAACTGGAATATACTCCTAGTCTGCTGGTGAAAAAGGCCCACCACTGGTCCTTGAGCTTCAACCTGAGGGATGGGCTTCAGGTTTGCCATCCATGTAGAGACTCTGAAGGCATTCCCAGGGAACATAGGCAGGGAGACACCACCTATGTGTCCTCCCTTGGCCTTGCTATATATAGCTCACTCCTAGGAAGAAGCATATACTCACATCTGAAGCCCCAAATTCTGTAATTTGTCACCCGGGGACACCTCCAGATCCCCTGGTCTTAAGGCCAGCAGGGATTACAATTGCAGTGCCATTTGTATACTTTAAAAGCTGCTGCCTGAGGATCATGGCTTCCAGTCAGCCTGAAGCCAGGTACTGACCAAGATCTGTCTCTCTCTCTCTCTCTGGAGCACTGACAGGTCTTGAAACACTCTTAACAACTGAGACCTATCAGGAGTAAATCAGGCTACTTAGTCACAAAATGTGAGAGACAACCAAGAGCTAAGGCAAGGTTGAATGATGAGGTTAATCTAGACAAGGCCACTCTTTTAACAGTGGGAAGATAGCTGTTTTGCCTAATACATAGAAATTAACACAGAGACTCAAGCAAAATGAGGAAATGGAAGAGTGTGTCTCAAAAGGAAGAACAAAACAAAACCTCAGGAAAAAAAAAAAAGATCTTAATGAAATGGAGGTATGTAATCTACCTGATAAAGAGTTCAAAGTAATGGTCACAAAGATGCTTACTGAACTCAGGAGAAGAATGGATGAACACAGTGAGAACTTCAACAAAACATAGGAAATATAAGAAAGTACCAAATAGAAGTCACAGAGCTGAAAAATAATAATTGAACTGAAAAATACACTAGGGGGGTTCAACAGCTGCTTAGATGAAGCAGAGGGACAAATCAGTGAGCTGGAAGATAGGGCAGTGGGATTCACCCAAACAGAAAAGCAAAAAGAAAAAAGAATTCCTAAGAAATGAAGATAGCTAAAGGGACTATGGGGCAACATCAAATGGAATAGCATTCACATTACATGGGCTTCAGAAGGGGAAAAGAGAGAGAAAGGGGGCACATTTCACGAAGTAATGGATGAAAACCTCTCTAAGCTGGGGAAGAAAACAGACATCCAGGTCCAGGAAGCACAGAGAGTTCTAAATAAGATGAATTGAAAGAGATCCACATGAAGAGACATTATAATTAAAATGTAAAAAGTTAAAGATAAAAAGAAAACCTTAAAAATGGCAAGAAAAAAGCAATTTGTTAGGTACAATGGACCTGCCCCACCGGCCCCCCCCCCCTCCCCTAGCACTCTAAGAATTTTCAGCAGAAACCTTGCAGGCTAGAAGGGAGTGGTGTGATATATTCAAAGTGCTAAAAGGAAAAAAACTTGCCCTCAAGAATACACTACCCAGTATATTATTATTCAGCATTGAAGGAGAGTAAAGAGATTTTTAGACAAGCAAGAGGTAAAAGAATTTATCACACTAAAGTGGCCCTTCCAAAAAAGAAAAAAAAAATGTTAAAAGGACTTTAAGCTGGAAAGAAAAAGCACTAACTAGTAATAAGAAAACATGCAAAAGTAAAAATGCCACTGGTAAACTATATATATAGTAAAGGTAGTGGGTTAATTACTTATAGGGCCAGTATTAAGATTAAAAAACAATGGGGCGCCTGGGTGGCTCAGTCGGTTAAGCATCCGACTTCGGCTCAGGTCACGATCTCACTGTTCGTGAGTTCGAGCCCCACGTCGGGCTCTGTGCTTACTGCTCAGAGCCTGGAGCCTGTTTCAGATTCTGTGTCTCCCTCTCTCTCTGCCCCTCCCCCGTTCATGCTCTGTCTCTCTCTGTCCCAAAAATAAATAAATGTTGAAAAAAAAAAAAGATTAAAAAACAAAAGTAAAATTAACTGTAACCACAACAAACAGTTACAGGAGACACAAAATAAAAGAATGTAAAATGTGACATCAAAAACATAAAACACTTGGGGGGGATGTAGATATGTAAAATTTTAGAATGCATTCAAACTTAAGTTGCCATCAATTTATTTTTTTTAAATGTTTACTTATTTATTTTGAGAAAGATAGAAACAGCACAAACTGGGGAAGGGCAGAGAGAGAGGGAGACAAAATCCCAAGCAGCCTTTGTGCTGTCAGCACAGAGACCGACACAGGGCTCAGTCTCAAAAAGTGTGAGATCGGGACCTAAACCGAAACCAAGAGTCAGATGCTTAACTGTCTGAGCCAGCCAGGTGCCCCAGCTATCAATTTAAAATAGACTATTGTATAATAGGTTGTTATACGTGAGCCTCATGGTAATTACAAAGCAAAAACTTATAGTAGGTACACAAAAGATAATGAGAAAGTAATCTAAACATAACACTAAACAAAGTCATCAAACCACAAGGGAAGAAAGCAAGAGAAGAGGAAAGAACAGAGAGGAACTACAAAAACAGCCAGAAAGCAATTAACAACTTGGCAATAAGTACATTCCTATCAACAATTTATTGGGTGGGGGTGGGGAAGGGACAGGTCATTTCCTTGTTTTAAAAAATTAAAATTACTTTTTTGTTGAAGTTGATATAAAATGTTACATAAGTTTCA